AAGAGCTTGTAACACTCCAAAGAGAAAGGAAAAATTTCAATCGCATCATATGACCCCTTTAAGATAGGATAGTGTAGAGTAGACAGGAAGTGAAGTGGAAGAGAGATGGGGGTGGGATCGGGAAAGATCGGGACTCCCGTGATACAATGGCATGTTGGCACACTGCCCACTAGGCTATTGGCGCTGACAATAATTTTTAACAATATTACGGCTTTTAGTGTATTTTTTAAGCTAATATATGTAGCTTTGGTATGTAGCTTAAGAGAAACATTTAAAAGAAAACCTTACCTGTAACAAACATTTAAACGGTAGTGTATGAGAACCAAGTTCCTGTAGCTGGTGTGTGGTGAGCGCACTTGTGCCGTTGTCCTGTGGCTGCCGTCGCATCATCCAGGTGGTGGTTGAGGAGAGATGATTGTAAAGCGCTTTGGGTGTACAGCAATATACAATAAAGCGCTATATAAATGCCTCATTCATTCATTCATTCAAGTTAGTTGGCTATAAAGCAGATAAAATATCTCCTTAACGCAAAACTCCCAATTGAAATGATTTTTCGCATGTAAAATTTAATTGAGCAACATTTAGCTTTGAGCATGTTGGTTATACATTTTCACTGGCAAAGTCCAGTTATTTCAGTTGGAAACCAATACAGTCAAGATTCCTCAAGGGCATAAAGTTGAGTTTCGCGTGAGGCCAAAAAGTATCCCAATGCAGATTTCACTCATGCTCAAGTTGCTCTCATGAATTTGCCGTGTTGCACAACAGAAAGCTGCTTGGTTTGAAGGTTACTTCTAAACTGTGCTTCATACATCATTACACTATTTACAATGGAGAATTTGACCACATCTTATGTTTCAACATGCTTGTGAAGACCACATTTTTTGCTTGCACCTCTGTGTGAAACAAGTGTGAGATTGTTAAATGTCTTAGCTTGATTTCAACCTCTTTCACTTCAAATGTCAAAACCTTGAATATTTACAGAAAGACTGTCTCTCTGGGATGTGTACACAGAGATAGTTAGCTCAGATTTATTGCTCTTTTCAGAACACATTTTACTTAAACTGCTGTAACATAAACATGACATTGGAGAACTGGAATTCAATACATCCCATGTATTAGCTTTTTGTGGTTATAAAGGGTTAGATTACTAGTACATTTGTTATCTTTGTATGTGGGCCTGTGCTGTGATGTGAAACGGTTTCGCTTCTGTAATAGTTTATTTTTGAAGAAAAGGAACTTGTGTTTCAAGAATACTTGAAATGCTGACACATTTAGGCCTGTTAAAAGAAAGTACGTTTTATTTAGCACTGTTGGCCTGTAGTTTTTTTAAGGCTGTTTTTCTTAGCGCTTGGTCAGAACCTGAACCTGAACCTCCCCTGCTTCCACTCGCTTTTCTCATTTTTCTTTTGGTTTCGGACCTCGGTACTTGGTACGGCAGAATTCTCCCACTTCCTACTTGAAATTTAACATTGGAATGGCGCTCAAAGTTGAACATCCAACATTTAACATCAGAGCGGATCAATTATTCCCAAATTTAATTTGAAATTGGGTCATTTTTTTAAATGTATTTTGAAAGTAATGTTCTTTCCATTTATGCTGACCAAGGCTGCATTTATTTGATTAAGAATACAGTGAAACAGTAATATTGTAAAATATGATTGCATTTAAAAATAACTCTTTTGTTTTTATTTATTTTAAATAAAATAGATTTTTGTCATGGCAAAGCTGAATTTTCAGCATCATTACTCCAGTCTTTAGTGTCACATGATCTTTCAGAAAAAAATCTAATATTGATTTGATGCTCAAGAAACATTACTTATTGTTATCAACATTGAAAACAGTTATGCTGCTTAATATTGTTGTGGCACATTTTTTTTCAGGATTCTTCAAGGAATAGAAAGTTTGAAAGAACATTCAGGCTAATTTCATTTGCATTTATTCATTTCTCAGTGACTTTCAAATGAGGAATACAACAAGCAATTCAAAAAGACATAACTATTTGAAATGGAAATCTTTTGTAACATTATAAATGTCTTGGCTGTCACTTTTGATCAATTTAATGCATCCTTGCTGATTAAAAGTATTAATTTCTTTTTTTTTAAATCCTGCCAACCCAAACTTTGGAACGATAATGTATGTCACATTATATACCATCACTTGAAAAGCTGTGTGGTCTGTGGGTTCCATGTGAGAAGGCAAGAGAATAGTTAATGAAAGGAAGCTTTCTAGACATGGCTGGTCGATGGGAGTCCACCATGAGTGTCAACAGGTCAGTCTCGTTCATTAGAGTCCCCCTCCTTCTTTCTGCCTGTTCTCCCTGTTCCCCGTTCCCAGGCTCCGTTCATTCCTGGGGGCCCCTTTAGCTCCATTGTGCGAGTGTTTTGGAGAGCGTGTGTGTGCGCTGAGTGCGTATCCAAGGCAACCTTTGTTGGCAGTCGGCAGCTTGGGTTTTGTATTTGCAACACAATGCAGTTAAAAGGGGGGGGATGTCAGTGGAAAGACAGAGGAGGGGGATAAGATTCAGTAGTCTGTGTGAAGGAGGTTTGGGAATAGTTGCTTGATTGAGCAAGTGTTTGTTTTGAGTGTGTGTGTGTGTGTGTGCGTGTGTGAGACTCAGACGCTGTCCTATAGACACAAACGTCTGTCTCAGACACTGGAGGAGCACCGGTTTAAGTATATGCGCAGTGGCATATGACTGAGATGAGGAATGAGCCATGAAAAGTGAAGTGAGCCAACAAACAACATATTCAGCCATGCTCTGGCATACTGATAAGTCACAGGATGAGGTTTAGATTTTTACAAGCATGCTGAATCATAAATATATTATTCAGCAGTTGCTCAAAAGTGATAGTAAAGACGTTTACATTGATACAAAAAATCTATTTCAATTAAATGCTGTTTTTGTGATTCTATCAAAGAATCCTAAAAAAAAAATGCAGCACAACTGTTTTCAACATTGATGAGAAGAAATGTTTTTTGAGCACCAAATCAACATATTAGAATGATTTCTGGAGGTTCAAAGACTGGAGTAATAATGCTGAAAATTCAGCTTTGCATCACAGTTATGAATTACAACTTCAAATATATTAAAATAGAAACTTTAAATTGTAATATTTCACAATTGTGCTGTTTTTACTGTATTTGTTATCTAATACATGCAGCCTTGGTGAGCATAAGAGACTTGAAAAGTCAAACATTAAAGGTGACATATTATGCCCCTTTTTGTAATATGTAATATAAGTCTCTGGTGTCCCCAGAATGTGTCTGTGAAGTTTCAGATCATTTATTATATAATTTTGAAAATGCCTATTTTGAGTGGAAGCAGAAACAAGCTGTTTTTCGGGCCTGTGTCTTTAAATGCAAATGAGCTGCTGCTCCCCGCCCCCTTTTCCAGAATAGAGCTGCGCCATTACAGCTCGGACCTGCTAAAAACATTTGTTTTGGGTCTGATTATCATGTTTATCGCGCTGAAATCATGCGTTTTAAACCATATGAGTTTAAACTTAAGATAAACGGTTTTCTGAGCGCACACATCCGAAGCACACACACAGAAAGCGGCTGTCACAGCATGTGAGTACTAAACTAAGTTCTCATTCACACACAAGTTTACCTTCAAAACACACATGAGTTACCAAAACAGTCGGT